TGATCTCGCCCTAGCCGGTTTGCTCAGTGGGTAGAGCTTTTGGCCTGTGGTCAGATATATGATTTGCAAATATTTTCCCCTACCCTGTATTTTCTCTTCTAAACAGGATCTCTTTCACAGAGCAAATGATTTTAATTTTGATGCAGTCCAATTTATTTATTTATTTTATTGGAATGTGCTTTTGGTGTCATGTCTAAGGATTCTTCACTGAGCCCAAGGTCCTGAATATTTTCTCTTATGTTATTTTCTAACAGTTTTTATAAATTTACATTTAAACTACTGTGACCATTTTGAGTTAAGTGTGAGGTTCGGTTGACAGAGTGGGTTTCCCCCCTATCCGCCACAGAATTGTATGGGGATATTTCTGGGTCTGTATTCTATTCCATTGATCAACGTGTCTCTCCATCTGCCGGTACTGCATCGGTTGATTACTGTGGCTATAGGATCATTCTTTAAATTGGATACAGTGATTCCTCTCATTTTATTCCTTGTTTTCAAAATTGTTTTGGCTATTCTAGTTCCTTTGCCTTTACCTTTACATTTTAGAGTGATATTGTTTATACCTATCACAAATTTTTGCTGGGATTTTAATAGGAATTTCATTAATCTTGTATATAGACTTGGGGAAAATTGACATCTTTACTATGATGAGTCATCCAGTCCATGAATGAAGCATGTCTCTCCATTTATTTAGATATCCTTTGATTTCTTTCAAAAGCACTTGGGCTTTTCATCATAGGAGTTTTGTACATGTTTTATTTTATTTACACCTACACATTTTCTAAGTGATTATAAATTGTATTTTTTTTTTAATTTAAATGTTGGTGTCCAGCCTAGCCGGTATAGCTCAGTTGGTTAAGTGTTGATCCATGAAACAAGAAGTCACTGGTTCGATTTCCAGTCAGGGCACATGCCAGGGTTGCAGGCTTGGTTCCCAGTAGGGGGTGTGCAGGAGGCAGCCAATCAATGATGTTTCTCTCAATATTGATGTTTCAATCTCTCTCCCTCTCCCTTCCTCTCTCTCTAAAAAGTCAATAAAAGCATTAAAAATAAATAAATTTTGTTGTCCATGTGTTCATTGCTGGACAAAAATTAATGACATTTAAGAATCACATATTTGTGCCCAGCCAGTGTGGCTCAGTTGGTTGAGTGTAGTCCCATGCAACTAGAGGTCACTGGTTTGATTCCTGGTCAGTCCACATACCTGGGTTGCAGGCTTGATCCCCAGTAGGGGCTGTGCAGAAGGCAACCAATTCGATATTTCTCTCTCATCGATGTTTCTCTCTCCCTCTCCCTTCCCCTTTCTCTAAAAATCAATTAAAACATATTTTTTAAAACAAGTAAAATTTAAAAATCACATATTTGTCATAAAAATGTAGACTTCTGATTTATAATGAAACATTGAAAGGTAAGTCATCCTGGCCTGCACTTCTGTTTGGTAACAATTGGCTGGAGCTGGGCACCCACTGCCCGTGGGTGAGTGATAATGAGTTTACTGTAGGTCCTGCCCTTCTCACAGTGAATGTATTTATTCTTACAAAAGGCTTGTATCCCTAGTTATTACATTACCAAAAGAATCTGAACTTGCTACCTCTGTATCAGAACTTGTGTTTGATCTCCAGGAAGTGTTGGCCACAATAAAGATTAGATATGATGTCAGAAAAGGAGCCATTGGCAGGATCCTGAGAAGATTCTGCTACATCATTGCAGCAATGTTCTTGCTCTCCCAGCACAAAACTCTGTGTGAGCACGAACTGTTCTGAGTGGTTACAGTAAAAAAGAAAAAAAAAAAAGTCCACTCTCCCACTCTCGTCCTAGCTGGTTTGGCTCAGTGAATAGAGCGTTGGCCTGCAGACTGAGGCGTCCTAGGTTCGATTCTGGTCAAGGTCATATGCCCAGGTTGCGGGCTCGATCCCCAGTAGGGGGTGTGCAGGAGGCGGCCGATCAATGGTTCTCTCTCCCCCTCTCCCTTCCTCTTTGAAATCAATAAAAATATATTTTAAAAAAAAGTCCCACTCTCATCTCGGGAAACAGCTAGCTCATTCCTCCTCTTGAGAAACCCCTAATTTTGAAATGACCAGGCATTATGCTCCCAGCACATTCCTCTGGAAAGCAGGAGAGAGCCAGTTGGCCCATAGAACCGTATGTCAGCAGAAGCCTTGGATTTTCAGCGGCTGCAAAGTGAAGCCCGAGGGGAGGTCGCTTTGTGTTCTAAGAGCAAAGAATGCTGGGTTGGTAGTTCCAGTCAGATTGGTGATTCCCAGAAATGTGGAAGTTTCCATAGTTCTCAGGAGAAGCCAGAAAATGATCTATTTCTCATCATGGAGTCAAACAAGTAGCTCTGTTAACCTGGTCAGCTCTGCCATTTCAGTGTCCAAACCTAACAGCTCCAATGTGGAGGCAAAATCAAACTTCTGAGTTCACTGACCCCTTACAAGGGACATGAGGCTCCATGAGCCACCTGGCCTCTTTGATCCAGTGCATTCTGGCTTTTTCCCGAGAGGGAACTATCAAGAGGAAGTTGCTGATCTTCTTTTTTTTAAATGTATTTTTATTAATTTTTTACAGAGTGGAAGGGAGAGGGATAGAGAGTTAGAAACATTGATGAGAGAGAAACACCGATCAGCTGCCTCCTGCACACTCCCCACTGGGGATGTGCCCGCAACCAAGGTACATGCCCTTGACCGGAATCGAACCCGTGACCCTTAAGTATGCAGGCCGACGCTCTATCCACTGAGCCAAGTCGGTTAGGGCTGCTGATCTTCTTTTGCCTGAATCCTCATTCCTTCATTTCCCAGCTCAGCACCTCCAGCCTTCTGACCAGGGCTGAGAAAAGTTGAACAATCTCTTGCTCTGTTTGGATAAAGCACCACCCAACAATTGACAGCAGGCATGGGCTTCCTGCAGGAGCCCTGGCTTCCCTTAGGTGCTCAGTTTCTGGAGATAGAAGAAAAAAGAATTGCCCTATCCAGTTTGGCTCAACGGACAGAGCATCCGCCTGTGGACGGGTCAAGTACCTCGGTTGCAGGCTTGATCTCCCGCCCTGGTTGGGGCGCATGTGGGAGGAGGCCAATCAATGTCTCTCTCTCTCACATCGTTGTTTCTCTGTCTCTCCCTTTTCCTTCCACTCTGTCCAAAAATCATTGGAAAAATATCCTCGGCTGAGGATTAGCAACAACAACAAAAACAATCTGGTTTGTCAACAACATCCTCTGCTCAATACATCTTGCAGGTGTGTATGGCCTAAGATATTAGTGTTCTCCTTGGTCACAGTGCTATGTGTCTGGCCCTCCACGAAATAAGGAAAAAAGAACACTGGGTCAGACTAGGAGGCAACTCAACTTGAAGGGACCCTTTAAGAGGGCTGGCCACAGATAATAGTGAAGAATAACAATAATAATGAGAAGCAGCAGCTATCATTTATCTAGTACCTATTGTATGCAAAGTAGTTCTGGGTTAAATGTCTGTGTGTGTGTGTTCACTTAATTGTCAGGGAAATTCCATTAAGTAAATAGAATGATCTCTATTTTGCAATTGAAGAGACTGCAGCTCAGAAAGGGAATGCAACTTGCCAAAGGTGACTTCAACAAGACTGGGTTTGAAATGCTTGATGTTCTGATGCAAGGGACATACCTACTGAGCCTGTAGCTCCAAGTGAGCTTTTGTAACATTGAGTTCTCCCCATCTCTTTCTTGGCTGGAATTGCCCAGGCAGCTGAAGCCATGGCAGTTCAGGGTTGCTCCTGTCTTTAGCCAGGCTGGCAGGTAAGTGCCTCCAAATGAGATGCTGATTGTTTCTGCTCAAATCTCTGGTCTGTAAGAGACAAGAGGAATTAGAATGGTCACTGGACGCGAGTCCTCCAGATGCCTAGGCGGGGGAGTGGGAAGGGGGACAGGACACCATTTTGATATTATTCAGTCTTGAAAAGAAATTCTGACGTTACAGAACCTTGAGGACATTATGCAAAGTGAAATAAGCCAGTCACAAAAGGAGAAATACTGGCCCTGACCGGGTGGCTCAGTTAGTTGGAGTGTCGTCCCATACACCAAAAGGTCACAGGTTTGATTTCAATCAGGGCACATGCTTGCGTTTGGGGGTCAATCCTCTGTGGAAACAGCCAATCATGTTTCTCTTCCATGTCAATGTTTCTTCTCTCTCCCTTCCTCTCTCTAAAATCAAACAAATCCTCAGGTAAGGATTAAAAAATGAGAAATACTGTATGATTCCACTGATATGTGGTACTTGTAGTAGTCCAAATCATATAGAAAATGGAATCCTGGTTGCCAGGAGCTGGAGGGAGGGGAGAATGGGGAGTTATTCTTTAATGGGTATTATAAGTTCAGTTTTCCAAGATGGAACAGAGTTCTGGAGATGGATGGTGGTGATGGTTGCACAAAAATGTGAATGTACTTAACTCAACTGGACACTTAAACACAGTTAAGATGGTAAATATTGTTATGTATATTTTACATTAAAAATATTGGGGGAAAATGCTGCAGGATATCAAAGGTTTCAACTATATTCTCAATATATATTAACTTTATAAGATTCATACCTTCCCTTCTATAACCAGATTTTCTTTGAACAGCATGTTTCTAAGCATGCCAATTAAAGGTACTATACCACTGGTGTAAGATAGCAAATTAAAACAATGGCATTGCTTCTTCAAAATTGTTATTTGAATGTGGTATTTTCTTAGCCTTAACGGTAGACTTCACAGACCTTATAGTAAACACAATCGGTCTTTGCTGCCTCTCCCTCCCAGCCCAAGTCTGTGCTTTATGGAAGATAAACCAGAATCAAAGCAGTAAAGAACACTGCAACTTCTTAAGTGAGTTACCATATTTGAAGAGCCTCACACACATTAAGCATTCATTAAATGCTGCTTATCATCCCCTGGATGCTCATTTTTAAGGCATAGAGGCATTTTCCCAAACTTAAAAAATAGGTTGCAATCTTATTATAGAAAAAAAGTATGATCCAAGAGAAAAGAGAACAAATAGGATGAAGCAATCCTTTATTTTGAGACACTTTCACAAAGAAGTTGTCAGTACATAAGCTTTCCAGTGGAGAAGAACGAACATGAAAATCAGCCTCAGCGCTGCTCTGCTTAGGGCCTGGGCTCCTCCTCCTTGCCCACGTGGTGGGGTGGGGGTGTGTACTTCCCCTCCTTGATTAGCTTATTCCGCTGCTTCACGATGGCACTCAGGCGTTTCATCTGTCAAAGGAAAAAAGTATTTAAAACCAGGGGGAGGCCCCGGCCAGGTAACTCAGAACATTGCCCTGATACACCAAGGTTGCAGATTTGATCCCCAGTCAGGGCACAAACAAGTATCAACCAATGAATGCATAAATAAGTAGAACAACAAATCAATGTTTCTCTAAAATATAAACAAATACACAAATAAATAAAAAACTAGGGGGAGATATGCACCAGAAAGCGAGGGCTGGAGAAATGGAAGGAAAATTTCATTTTCAGAGGGCCTCTGAGGTGAAACTTGTCTTTTAAAAACTTGAAATAATTTCTCAAGCTTTTAACAAATAAACTTCTGGTACATGTAATAATATCTCCTTGAAATCTAAAAATAAAACTTACAAGTCAAAAACCTTTAAGAGTCCTAGCTGGTTTGGCTCAGTGGATAGAGCATCAGCTTGAGACTGAAGGATCCTGGGTTTGATTACAGTCAAGGGCACATGCCGGGGTTGCGGGCTTGATCCCCAGTGTGGGGTATGTAGGAGGCAGCCAATCAATGATTCTCTCTCATCATTGATGTTTCTATCTCTCTCTCCATCTGACTTCCTCTCTAAAATCAATAAAAATATATATTAAAACTTTTAAGAGACATAGTCATACATACTAAAAGCTTTTAAAATATTAAAGGCTATATATTCCTGACCTCTCTATGTGAAGGTGGCACTGCTGCTGTTGACTGTTCGCTGGGTATGAATGAAGCAGAAATAGCCAATGTAAGGTCTCTTTTTACCAAACTGAAATTAAGACCCAACAGCTACTAGTCACTGTTGAGCCTTGAGTTTTGCCTCTCAGACAGGCCATTCCTAGCAAATGTCATGCTATACAAGCCTGTGTGAAAGCATGATTCACACGGACCCTTTGAAAAAGAAAATACACTCACTAGTCATGACTGCATTATTTATCTGCTCAAAACTCAATGGCTTCCCATCTTACTGAAAGAAAAAACAAATCCTTCCTTATAATGACTTCTGAGGCCGATCTCCCTGACTTTATGTCTTAACACCTTCCTCTAGCTCTCTCTGATCCAGCTCAGGAATCTTTGCGCTTGCTGCTGCTTCTGCCAGACATACTCTCCCCTTGTTTCCACTTGGCTCACTTTCTCTAAGTCTCTGCTCAAATGTCTTGTGTTGCTGAACTCTTCTCTGACCGCTCTATTTAAAAAAACAAACACACAACTTAGCTCCCATGACCAGGGCTTTCCATCCCTTTCCTGTTTATTTTCCCCACTGCACTCAACTCCTGACACCCTATTTTTTAACTTGTTAACTTTCTGTTCCCCTCCCCACTATATAAGCTCCATTAGGACAGGGACTTAAAAAAAAAAAATGTCTGGCCCTAGCTGGTCTGGCTCAGTGGATAGAGCGTTGGCCTGTGGACCAAAGGGTCACAGGTACGATCCCAGTCAAGGGCATGTACCTTGGTTGCAGGCTCCTCCCTGGGCCCAGAGCTGGTCAGGGCTTATGCAGGAGGCAACCAATCGATGTGTTTCTCTCACATTGATGTTTCTGTCTTTCCCTCTCTCTTCCACTCTCCCTAAAAATCAATGAAAAAATATCCTGGGGTAAAGATTTAAAAAAAAAAAGGCTGCCCTAACTGGTTTGGGTCAGCCTATGGACTGAAGGGTCCCTCAATTCCAGTCAAAGGTACATGCTTGGGTTGCAGGCTCAATCCCCAGTAGGGGGTGTGCAGGAGGCAGCCGATCAATGATTCTCTCTCATCATTGATGTTTCTCTCTCTCCCTCTCTAAAATCAATAATAAGATATTAAAAAAATAGATTTCTTGCCCTAGCTGGTTTGGCTCAGTGGATGGAACGTCGGCCTGCGGACCAAAAGGGCCCAGGTTCGATTCTGGTCACAGGCACATGCCCAGGTTGTGGGCTCGATCCCCAGTAGGGGGCGTGCAGGAGGCAGCCAATCAATGATTCTCTCATAATTGATGTTTCTATCTCTTTCTCCTTCTCCATTCTTCTCTGAAATAAATAAGAATATATTTAAGAAAAAATAGATTTCTCTATGAAAGAAATTTCCCAACAGAGGAATAGTCATGGTTGAGCTATCAGAACACCATGGATTAAATCTTCACCTGAACTAGAGCCAATAACCACTTAGTGTTGTGATATAATAAGCACAGGCTCTGGAGCCAGCATTGCCAGGCTCAAATCCCAGTTACAGCACTTACTAGCTATATGACCTTAGGCAATGGTCCTAGTTTTTTCTTGCCTCAAGTGTTTTTAATTGTATGGTGGGGGAAATAATAGTAAAGCATCTTACAAGGTTGTTGTGAGAAATAAATGCATTATTACATGCCAGGCACTTAGAAAAGGGCTTGATTCTAATTTCCTGAATCACTAGTTTCTTCACCTAGGGGGAAGTATCTAGTCATTTAGGGTAACCTCTAAAACAGTAACATATCTATTCATAAATTCACAGGATGAGGAAGTGACCTTGGGGGAACTCTTTAATAAAATTTCCAGATAAGGACATCAAGACAAACAAGTGACTTGCCTGAAGACACAAAAATAGTGGTGGCAGAACCACACCAAAACCCAGCTCTTCTAACTTCAATCCAATGTCCTTTCCACCTCACCACACTGCCTCCTCTTGATGTAAATTTTCCAGAGTGAGTAAAGTCTTAATCTGAGCAAGGAATAATGCAGGCCCACAAGAAGAGAAGACATTGTGAACTAGCTGGTAGGTGGCCAAACATGACCCACTCATTGTCCTATAATATAGACTACACTATAATATTACCCACTTAATGATCAATATTCCTACAGAGATCAATACAAAATTATGACCTGATACCCTTTCATTGTTTCCAAATTTGGCTTCACTTTAACCAAATGCTAACAGATGTTAAAAGACATTTAAAATGTTGATAGATAAATTTAACTGAACATCTAAATTGTCTCCCTGAACTACAAGAAATTAAGTTATAAAAACATTTCTATTTGTTATATCTGGAACACAGAAATAGGCAAAAAAACAGCCCACACTCAAAGATTTCTTCTTTAAGGGAGAACAGAGCTCTAAATGTGTTAGCCCTGTGTTAGCACCCCCTTTCCCTATGCATTTTTGGTTAGGCTCACCTAAAGCAATCTCATTAACACCTCCACCTTCCCCAGAGTATAAATATTTCAGAGATAGTTATATCAGCTTCAATGTAATAGACCTTCAAGGTTTTAACCCCTTCCCCAATGAGGGTTCAATGAATTTTAAGGATTTTTACCCAAAGATTTTCACAAACATCCAGGACGGGTTGATATTCTTTGCTTTATGGCCTACTACAAAAACAGAAACAGACAAAGACATGTAATTTCTAACCTGATGGCTACAGCAAGGATCGATATTAAGGAAAATCAGAGAGATGAGGAAGAACATGAGGAACAACAGGGCTTCCTCAGATCTGAAGACATTTAACTTCCTTAACATGATACCTAAACAGAGGTGTTTTACCATAAAAGTCTTGCCAATTCAACTCAATGACCAATTAAAAATACTGAAAAGTAGCCCCAAAGAAATAAGGAAGTAACTCAGCTCCCACCTCCATCACTTCCTCACCGTTTTCTGCCGAAGCAGACATTCGAATAAATCTTCATATTCTATCTTGCACTCTTTCCGTGCGCGGATACCACCAATTCCATGTGAACATTCTATCCATTCTTTTTCAAAAGCATGGCATCGAGATGGAATCCTGTGAGGCTGTTCAGCACTTTGGATTGACAGCCAGCGGTCTAAGTCAATGCCCAACTTCTTCTGTATATCAAAGAAAGGCATGGCTGAAATGGAAGGTAAAGAAAGATATAATGCCATAAAAATACAATCAAGTAAGAAATTTCTAAGGAAAATGAGGTTATGATGATAAATAGCCCTCTAGAAAGTTATTTTACACTATTCTCCCAATTTCTTCGCACCAAACTTTTTCATTAGACAGATTCTCCCAGTTTACGGTAGATGAACAATTTCTGTGCTTTCACAAAACCCAAGGGAAAGAGAACTAAAATAAAGTATAAAAATCTTCTTTATATTGATAAAGTCGTGTTTATCAAAAGTTAAAGAGTTTTTATGTTTTTGACTTAATAATCCCAATTCTTTGAGTCAGATCTGAATAACTGAAAAGAACAAAAAAAAGCATAAGCATAGAAACATTTCTTTACATACTTCTATCCATATCAACTTAGATGACACCTTCCCTGAGAAGCCCTCCTGAAACTGGCATCCCCCTTTATGTCACCACATCAGTCTCCACTTCCCATAGGAGTACTCTGCATGCCACTATAATGGACTATTTACTTGCATGTCTCCCTTATGGAACGATGAATGCAGTAAGGGCAGGGACCAGGTAGTAGTTTGTTAAAAAAAAAAAAAAGTTAATTTCAAACAACTTAAATGGATAATTAAATCCAGTACCTACTTAGTAGAATATGATGATATTCAGGAAAAAAGAAAAGTAAACATGGGACATACATTTTAATGTCAAATAAAGAAAAAACACAACAATAATGCCGAAGAAAAACTGCCTGCAAAAGAAGACTGGAGGAAAGCACACACACAAAACGGCAGTAGTTATGTACGAACAGTAGATCCACAGGTGAGTTTAATTTTTAAGTTTCCTACCCATTCTTTAAGTCATCTACTAAATAATAAATTAGTAAGGCACTGGAATGGGGGAAAGCAGCAGCTGCAACGTTAAGTACGAGATTACAGATACACAGCGAATTGGGAGCCCAAAGGAAGGAACAAACCAGGGTTTAAGAGCTCGAAGGAGGAAGCATCAACTCCGCCCAGGAGACGTGAAGATGCCTTTTAGGAAGGGCTGAGTTTGCGCAGTGAAGGTGAGTGGGCAGAGTGCTCCAGAGGGCACAGCAGGAGTTACAGCCGCAGGTCTGGGTGTGTGTGAGGGACACTGAGGTCCCAGACGTGGCTGGAGCGCAATCACGTCGGGAAGAACGAAACGAGCTGAAGCGGGGTGCAGGGCCGCAATCACGCGGGGACTTGAAAGCCGAGACAAGGAGCATGGGCTTCAGGTGGAGAGCCAGAAGGCCAAAGCGTTGGTCTGGCAGATATCTCGGTTAGCCTGTTAGGGGAACCGAGAGAGGTGCGGTCTACAGGCTTCAGTGACATTGGCTGGCTGTGTGGACCGAGGGACCTGGGGAAGCGGAAAGCACGCCCGGAGTTCGAGTGAGAGAGAACGGACACCCAGCCAGCCACGAGGAAATTTGTTAAAGAAACCTCCGAAGGAAGTTCCTTAAGTTAAACTGCCCCGCGTACACACCCGCAGGCCCTACCGTCCTACCGCGGTGCCCTTGTTCGGTCGCTGGCTGTGGGTACCAGAAGAACTGCAGGCGACGCGGAGAGCTGCCGCAAAGGATGCCCGCAGCGCGACGCTTGTAGCGCGACACCGGAAGTAGACCTTCCTTCCGCCGTCTGGCCCCGGAAACCATAGGAACCAGCGTATCGATCTGCGCCTGCGCGGGTGTGCGATAGCGTGCTGGAGGTATGACGGTGGATAAACCGACATTCCCTAAGGAACCGAGTTAGCGAGGGCCCAGCGGGCGGTGCGCTCCGGCTGCCTGGTGGCTGTGCCTGGCACTCCCCCGGCAGTTTTGACTCGTGAGGTACTTGACCGAGGCCATTCGAGAGAAACAGTGTGTCCCCGCCGCCACTCCAGCAACGGTTAAGCTCATGGACTGTGGACCCGCGCTAGGTGGGTTAATATTCTGACTTCGCCCCTTGTGTGTGACCCTGGCAGTTTCCTAATCGCACTTAGCCTCACTGCCTCAAATTAAAATGAAAATATTGCCCTGGCCGCGTGGCTCGACCGGTTAGAGATCGTCCTGATGAGCCAAGGTTGTGGGTTCGATCCCCAGTCAGGGCACATGAGAAGCAATCAATGCATACGTAAGTGGAACAACAAATTGATGTTTCTCTTTCTCCCTTCCTTCCACTGTGTCTAATCAGTATAAATTTTTTTTAAAAGTTTAAAATATTACTTTAAAAGACAATAACAGTACCTATAGTTGAGGGAGGCTTTGGGAATTATATAAATTATGCGTTAAGCACGGAGGCTGTTCCTGGACCGTGGGAACCAGTCTAAGGCAATCCCAGTTTTCGATGTCTCAGCTCCTAAAGTCTGTGGATTCAGGAAGGTTGATAAAGACCATGACGCCTTCCTCTGTTTGAGACCCTCCCATGACTCCCTTTGACTACAAGGAGGATCCAAAGTGGTGTGTGTGTGTGGGTACCGCAGGGTATACGTAATATGATACATTAGAGTTGTGGGAAGAAAATACGAGAATATTTCTGTTTATGGAAACTTTTTTTTAAAATATATTTTATTGATTTTTTACAGAGAGGAGGGGAGAGGGATAGAGAGTTGGAAACATCGATGAGAGAGAAACATCGATCAGCTGCCTCCTGCACACTCTCTACTGAGGATGTGCCTGCAACCAAGGTACATGCCCTTGACCTGAATCGAACCCGGGACCCTTCAGTCCACAGGCCGACGCTCTATCCACTAAGCCAAACCGGCTAGGGCTGTTTATCAAAACTTTTAAAAAGTCTGTATCTTTTTGCTTTTGGGTTTTGTTTTTAATCTTCACCTGAGGACATTTTTCCATTGATTTTTTAGAGATCGAGGAAGGGAGGGAGAGAGAGAATCATTGATGTGAGAGAGACACATCGATTGCCGCAAAGGCCGGACAGGGGATGGGAATGAAGGTATGTGCCCTTGGCTGGAAATCGAACCCATGACGGAAATCGAACCCACGACCGTCTGGTCCGCAGGCTGCAGCTCTAAGCACTGAGCCAAACCAGCCAGAGCTAAAATTTCTGTGTTGTGTGTGTGTGTAAATGTTTTTATTTTGTTTTGTTTTGTTTGTTTTTAAAGTACATAACATCACTGTAGTGATACACATAAATAACTTGCAATTAAATATTTATTTGCGGTTTGGGCTGAAAATGTATTTTCCTTTTAAGTGATGTGCTCTCAAAAACATTTAGCCTGGCTAGTGTGGGTCACTGTTTGAATGTCGACCCAGGAACTGGGAAGTTATGGTTAGATTCCAGGTCAGGGCACATGCCAGAGTTGCCGGCTCGATCCCCAGTACGGGTTGTGCAGGAAGCAGCCTATCCATGATTCTCTCTCATTAGTGATGTTTCTATCTCTCACCCTTTTTTTTAAGTTTAAAATAAAAACTTAAGTCATTTACTAAGTAATAACGTGCCAGGCACTGGAATGGGGAAAAGCAGCAGCTGCAATCAATAAAAACATATTTAAAAAATAAAAAAACGTTTAGCCAAGTCCAGCATTCCAACCTTCCAAGCCTCTGTCCAAAATCCCCTGCCTAATGTTCCAACCAAGAGCTTGTTTCAATGTATTTCAGGAAAAGTCCTGCCACCCAAGTCTCTAATTTTTTTTTTTATCCTTTCCCCAGGAGTGACACCATTTCCATCCCATCTCCATTTTTGCATGCCAGATTCCTGATCTATTTCAGGACTTTTGCAAAGGTTTTATTCCCCCGAGGGAATTAAATGCCCCTAAGCCCCAGATCACCCACTCTGGAGATAATCCCTAAGGTCCCAGAATTTGCTGGTTTTATTCAAGCACTAGAGGCCTGGTGCACGAATTCATGCACCGGTGGGGTTCCTGGGTCTGGCCTGCACTCTCTCAAAATTCAGGACCCCTCAGGGGATGTCAAATAGATGGTTTCGGCCCAATCCCCACAGGCCCGATCCCCACAGGCCCGATCCCTGCAGGCCTGATCCCTGCAGGCCCGATCCAGACAGGAGGGAGCCGGATCCCCACAGGCCTGATCCCGGCAGGCCCTATCCCTGCAAGCCTTATCCAGACAAGAGGGAGCCTGATCCTGTGTGTTCAGTGTCTGTCCCCTGGTGGTCAGTGCGCATCATAGCAACTGGTCGTCCAGTCATCCGGTCATTCGGTCTCTTAGGCTTTTATATATATAGAAGATTCCAATTCTTCCTTCCCCCCATCAGATTAGAGTTTTAGTTCAATTAGAATTTCCTGAGCACCTAACACATGCCCAGCAAATACTGGGGGCTTAGGGAACTCTTAACTCATGGCCCTTGCTCACAAAATACCAGAGCTCACAAGGTATTGTTCACCACCACCCTTTGCATTTCTTCCACTTTTTTGTTGGAAACTGAAGTTGTATTTTGTCTTTTCCTCATCTTTCATCCAATATTTAATTACTGCCCACATTCTCTCAAATATTCCTTCCACAGGTTTCTATTTTTTTCCTTTCTGCCTCCCAGCTCCTCACTTCACTTTTCCCCTGACTAATCTTCCTAAAATACTAACTTCATTGTATCACTCCTTAGATACTAGGCAGGATAGATAAGTACAAAGATAGGCAACACAGATGCCTCTAAGGTCAAACAGAGCTCACCCTGAAAACAAAAGTACCATGATAAATGGCAACTGGTACTTGGCCTCAATTTGACTAATGGGAAGGAGTGGTGGGGAATAAGAGAAA